TGGGCTGCAAATGGCACAATACGTACCAGTGATTACAGACATTGATTACGGCACTCCTTGAAACCTAGTACTGAGTCTTTCTGACAAAATTTTAAAATCTCCAAATGTTCCTTTAGAAGGCTCTGCATTACATGTCCATGGTTAGGTAAGAAAACTAGGTTTAATGTCCAGAACCTTTCCCCAGCGCCTCATGCTAGACTCTGCTGGGATTAAAACTCAGTCTAGCCTATGCCAAGCACTGACAGCTGGGCTCAATTCTTCCATAGCAGAACTAGGCAGGGGGTGATGGAGTGTCAATGCTTTCTCCTTATCTCAAAGTCAGTCAGTCAGTCCGTTAAGGGTGAGGCCACCCCTAAGAACCAGCCCAAGTCACAGTTGTATGGGGCCAAGAAGGGTGGAAGGGGATTATATCAGCAGTGGGGAAGGGCCTAAAAGCTATATTCAGAGGCCTGATAGAACATAGTAAGACCAGCCCCAGCAACATCAAAGGCTACAGCAAGGAGTTAGTTTATACAGCTTAGTCAGTTGGATTAGACCCTTCATTAGGATGCAGAACAAATCTCTTCTCCTTGGCAGACAGGAGTGAGAAACAGAATAAAAATGGAAATCGGATCTGAGCCCTGAATTCCCCATTCAGCACGAGTTCCTCTTATTTGCGTAGGAACTCTTGTTCGCCTGGCTTTGTTTGAAATAAAGGTAACAGGAAATTTCAGGGCAGGATGAGGTCAAGGTCTCTTGCTTTGGGGCCAGCAAGCCCTGGGAGGACTCTTGAGTCAGAACACCCCGTCCTGGGAGGAGGACAAGCAGAGGGGGAGAGCATTTGCCATGGGGTGCCCGCAGTACCGTCCCTATACAGCTGCATCTTCAGCAGGCAAATTGAATGCTGAGACTCTGGAAAAGATGTTTCTTAGTTTGCGTTGAATAAGCAGTTGTCACGCTGTATAGAGTCATTGGCAGTCTGGTACCTGAGTGGATGCCTTTTAGCACGCAGAGCACCAGGATGAGGCCACTAGTCAGCTTGTCGCTTTTTCCCTAACGTGCATCTTTTGAGGAAGTTGCTGCTCTGTTTCAGGGTATTGCAAGCTAAGAGAACAGTATGATCTGGTTTGGGGGTTTTTTAATGCCCCTGATTACAGGATTATTTGCATTAAAATCCACAGAGGTCAGACAGAAAAGCCTGGGTTTGACCTCAGTCGTGTCACAGAATCACAGAATCACAGAATAGTAGGGGTTGGAAGGGACCTCTGTGGGTCATCTAGTCCAACCCTTCTGCCCAAGCAGGGTCACCTACAGCAGGCTGCACAGGACCTTGTCCAGGCGGGTCTTGAAGATCTCCACAGAAGGAGACTCCACAATCTCCCTGGGCAGCCTGTTCCAGTGCTACGTCACCCTCAGGGGGAAGAAGTTCTTCCTCATGTTCAGACGGAACTTCCTGTGCTTCAGTTTGTACCCATTGCCCCTTGTCCTGTCGCTGGGCACCACTGAAAAGAGTCTGGCCCCATCCTCCTGACACCCACCCTTGAGATATAAATTTATAAGTATTTATTAGGTCCCCTCGCATCCTTCTCTTCTTCAGGCTGAACGAGCCCAGCATGTCAGCATGGCTAAAGGGCCATAGGAAGGGGTATGCAGGTACACTACAAATTCAGTTTAAGATCAGAAAGAACACCAAGTATTTAAAATAGGAATTAGTTTTCTCTAGTTACTGTATCATCATAACAAAGCATGCCTATGTGTAAGAAGGTATTTGTTGCTGGTCTCTAGGACTTGTCTTTATTGTGTTTTAGGACAGAAGAAAGAAGGAAAGATGTCACTCTTGGTTAGCATTTCTTTTACAATTTTTTATAGATTTTTTTTAAAACAGTCTCTGGAGTGAAATCAGACATATTTACATAAGCTATTTCTTGCCCTGAAACAGGACTGATTGAAATATTAACAGCGGTTAGAAAGATACATACCCGCATTTCACTTCATTCTTTTGAAGCCTTTAAATCACTATATTAGCCCCTCAAATGGTAAACAAAAAGACAATTTCCTTGCTGCCATAGTAGAAGAGAAGAGAGACTGCTAGCTGTAAGCAACCTGTGCCTTTAATTATTATATTAATATTGCTAATTGTAACTGACAGAGCAATTAGGGTTGAATATTACCCTGGGAAAGCAGCTTGACCAATGTTGATCATCTTGTTAAAGAGATGGAATTTAGTTTAAGAGAGGAAAAAGTAGGTTCCTTGTGGTTTATCTCATTAAGGTGATTTTCATAATTCCAGCAGTGATTCCCACATCTTTAAAACTAAGCTTGATAACAGACAAAAAGACACAGCTGCATTGGAATGGTGAGGGACTTAGAAGGTTTCTGATTCTGTCATGAAATGTCCATTGCTGAATTTGCTTAATTTGGCCTTAACTTATTCCTCAATGAGATCATCCCACAGTCTCCCTTCCTCTGAATTATGTCTCTTGGATTTCTTTAAAACCTTCATATCTCTCTGGACACCTTCTGTTGCACCACCTCAAATCTTCTACAGGCACTTAACATTATGGGGCTCTAATTTTCTTCTCTCTTTACCAATTTCTTACCAACGTAAATCCATTGACTTTAACGGGATTGCACCTGACTTGCTCCAAGAAAACCACACTGAAAGAATCAGCCTCATAGTGTCCAAAGTCATATTCAGTATTCCAAAAGTGACCATTTTATGATTGTTTTCTGCAGAAATAAATTTATTTCCCTTGGCTCCACCTCACAACACAGCACTGTTGCTGCAAGACCTAACAGACAGAAAAATTCTGAGCATGACACAATCTCCCTTTAACATTTAAACTGCAATACTTTTCGGAGAACTACATGACTAATTTTTAAAGAATTACAGCCACAGATATTTTTTCCTTTTCTCTTCCTTTTGCTATTAAAAAACAAACCAAACTTTAGTTTTCTGCCATTTTCCCCCCATACACTGGAAAATACTTAGGATACATTTTGGCAAAACTGAAGGAAATATCTTAAGTGAAAAGTTCTTCGAAGCCAGAGAGAACAGATATTTGTCATGATGTTTTCCCACTGTGAGGTGTGCTATTCACATACAAGAAAAGAAAATCAACCTTTATCTATGCCATGGAAGGCAGCAATATATGTGCTGGAAAAAATATTTCCTAGCACAAGGAAAAGGCAAGCATACAGCTGCAAACATCATAAAGTAATAGTATTTTTTCCACCTAAACTGCTCCTTCACAAAACAAACTACAGGATTCCTGTCAAGTTTAAAATCTCACCGTATATATTTTTAAGTGTCTCCTCCCTTTTATACTGTTAAATAAATAACTATTTATACCTATACCTTTCGTTGTTTACAATAAGACAGAAGTCTCATCCTATTGTTTTTCAACTACCTCCTCTGTTGTTTGCCCTGTGTGTTGCATGGGTTAAGTTTCTACACTGGAATTACGAAAGAAAACTAGTAAAAGACTGTGAGCTTCATTTCTTGCCTTGACTGTAGTGTAAAGCCTGACAAAATTGCGGTTGAGGTTTGCTGGAAATTCAATTAATTTGAAATTTAGGTTGGTTCTGAACCAGACAGGAATCTTTTCCTTTTTTTAACTCTCTCCTAAAGACAGGAACGAAACTAATCTCACCGAGCAATTGCAAAGAGCCTGGGAGATTCCAGTCCCTAAATGACCTGCTAAACAGCTACTCACAAGAAAGAGGCTGTTAGCAGAAGAGCCAGCCATTTAGGAACCCTCAATTTGCAGCAACCCCCTCGCTACAGAAAACATACCAAGAATCTGTGCAATCTGGCAGAATGTGGCATGCTGTTCAGAACCGAAACTTCTTCAGGCTTATAGAAAATGTAAAACTACCTCTCCTCTGGTCTGCTGGGAGAAAAGTCAAGTATTATGAGCTACTTCTGGATCTGTAGAAATCAAAAGGTCTTTTATCTCAAAATGATCCATGCAAGGAGGTACCATGTCACTATGATTTAACTTCCCTGATGAAGTAAAAGCAATTCCAGGAGAAATCCATTCCTGACAATGGCATGTGTGGGGAAGAGATTTTGAAGTAGTGAGGTCTGGTGTGTATTGGTTGCTCTGACACAGAACTGAAAGCTCTGGAAGCAGGCAAGGCATTGTGTGTCTTACGGCCGGAGTAATGTCACAGCAGGGCACAGTAAGCCATGCTTTCTGTCTTGGGCCAAATATGATCTCAAGTGGATTTCACTAGTATCACTGAAATCCTCCAGGGTCAGCTGGAGCTTTAGCTCAGTGACTTTAAATATTGCACAATGCTCCTTTCAGCTGGTAGAGAGGATACAGTCTTTATCATAGCAAATATTGGACAATCGTTAACTCCTTCTTGCTCTTTCAAGCCCTGTTAGAGGAAGACATTTGCTCAGGCATGAAGAATTAAATCACTAGAACAGACAATTGAACTCATTTGAACCCAGTTATTTTGCAATTTGCTTGGCAGGACAAAACCAGGTGTCTGACTATACATACAGTGAGGACCACCAACACAGATATGGACAGAATCTATCCTTTTTCATTTGTTCTGATCCCAAGTCTCTGTCATTCATGGTGCCAGAACTCTACTTTTCAGTGGCTGTGAGGGAAGACAAACTTCCTGAGACTGACTCTGGCTAGAGCATCAGGTGCAGGGCTCAGCTGGGGTATGTGCTTTTAGAAGACAACAGCTGATCCACACAGTGGAAAACAGCAGGCAGGTATATCTCTGTCTGATAAGGCTAGTCCATTACAAGATTTCTTGTGTGCTGTTTCCCAGCTCCAATTCTGTTTTACCTTTTTACACATAAACCTCCAGATCTATTCAGTGGAAATCTTCATAAACTTCAAAGCAACATGTCCTAAAAAATGCCACAAGAAGCTCAGTGCATTCTCTGGCACTGTGACTGACCTAACCCACACATCAATGACACTCCTAACAATTAATTGCCTGCATCAGTGACAACCCCGGAGGCTGGTCATACACACAGTGCCTGTACTCACAGTTTTCACAGCGATTCCCTGTATAGCCAGCCAGACATGCACATTTGTAGGTACCACTTTTGTCTAGAATGCACGTTCCATCATGAAGACATGGAGATGAAGAACAAGCTATAAAAGAAAACCAAGAACATTCAGGATCTGGGATGGGAGTCCTATCTATTTTTCCTCATAATGGCTGTGTCTTGGGGTAAATATTCTGTACATACATATTGTATAGTTATTGTATAGTGTATATGTATATACATATTCTGGTTAAAAGTTAGGAAGACACAGCAAAAGGCCTAATGCACGTCAAAAAGCCTTCTGCTCTTCTTTCTTACTTACCGGAGAGGGGATCTTACAGGGTCAGGCAGTTTTTTCCCAGCATTCATCACTTACTCTTACCATTTCCTTCTAACTGTAGTCAAGTGGTGAGAAAGGTTTGTGGAAGAAAAATAATTTACAGCAAGCTCCAACAGTGTTTAGAGCTTAGCCTAAATTAAAGAAGTTTAATATCAACCTACATTTCTACTACCATTCATCCCACAGTTTAGGGATAAGTTCTGAGATCTGTGGTTCTGGCAGGTTTTTTGGGCCTCGTATCTTGTCATCCCAGACTTTGGGAGTTGCTTTGCCCATGAGGAGCATTTCTTTGGTGCTGGGTTCGGGAAGATCTGAATGGTCATGATGACCTTAAGTCTGCTGGGGAAGCTCTTGCACACCACAAATCTAGCAGTGACACACATCAAACTGTACATATTAGCATAAATTAATATCAGAATGTGTAATTGTGCCATTTAACGTCAGCAAATTCCACTGCGCAATAATACACACACTTTTTTTTGTGCCTGCTCTAAGGGGAGATGAGTGACTAAAACATAATTTACTCTCAAAAATACAAATAACACATTTCCACTTAGATTATTTTCCAAACTGAGTGTGGGTTTCAGCAGACAGAAAGTAGAACCAAAATCTCAAGATTTAGTTCCAGTTTAAGATTCAAGTAACTCCAACAGCTGAGGCATTCGGGATCTGATGCCTTGCTTTAAGTCCACCTTAATAAAACCAGACTCTGCAGCAAAGTTCACATCTGGATCCATACCAGAAGTTGAGCTCAGTTTCATCTTGCATTGACTACAAAATATATTCCTTGCCATCTTAAAGAATTTTCCAAGCATACTTGATAACTTACAGATTAAACTTTGAAATCATAATTGATAGAAAGGTCTGCATTCTAACTCATTTATAGATCATCTTTGTCCTTCCACACTAAATACACTGATTACTTTGGTTATAACAGAAATACGAATCTTTGTACCAGCTGCTGAGTGTTGCAACCACAAGCAACCAGCCCTAAGGGACCTATGGTGAGGCTCTGTACTGTTACATTTAAAGCATTCTCTCTGCTGCAGTCCAGAAGGACAGATATCAGAATCAGCAGTTCTCCTTGCAAAGACTTCACTCGAAGCATAATCTTTGAGTCACTTATGTCCAGATGGCAAGAGACAAGAAATATATAGATGCCACATATGGATTTCTCTGGAGATTTAATGTGGTGATGTAACAGCAATTCACACATGGCTGGGCAAGGAATATCTTCCAGGTCTCATTGAAGACTAAGGTCTGACTAAGGACAGTAATTATTCGTTAAAAGGAATATATATGTGGCAATTGTACTGTATCCAACTAATGTAAAACATCACTGAGAAAGGGAAGGAGCAGCAGAAGAGCCTCTCAAGACTGGTATTTTGTAGTCACTGGTTTGAAGCCAGTGAACTTTCAGCTTTGTCCTTGCCCCAGCTTTGTCTCATGACTCTGTAAAAGTATGTCAAGTGAGCGAGGGTAAGTGCCAGATACTGTCCTTGAAAATGCCTGATACTCAAAAGCACTAAATATTTTTCTTTTTTAAAGGAGTCTTGATTTCCTGGCTTCAGTCAAACAACACGGGACAGTACTACAAAAGGTTAAAGCCCCTATGTTGTGTCAAAGATCACTAGCTTGGGGATACAGAAAGTAAAGCATTATTGAAATTCAATAACAGGCTTTCATCTAACTAGATCCAGCATATGTCTGCTCCCTAAGAGACCCTGATGCCTCTCCATCTGGCCCCCCATCCTTCTCTTCTGAAGTCTGTTGAGGGACTTCTAGTCACTCATGACAATTACTGGTTCCCATCTGACACTTGGCATGGCATGGGACCTAACACCTGCTCCCAGACCAGGCAGCGCAGCAGGTTGTGTGGTTTTGTCCTTTAATAACTACACACAGAGCGACCTTTCCTAAGGGGGATATAGGCTTTGCAGCTTATTTTGTGTCAATCAAAACCTTACTGGCAGTTGAACCAGTGACCTCTGTGTGGTCAGTGCCACTGCTTCAGCAAGCTAGGACTTCTAAGCCAGCAGAGAGCTCAGAGGAAAGGAAGACACAAAGCGAAGGGATTCAGTTCTGACAGCACCAGACGCTTCTCCAGGACTCTCTGCTACACACTGAGGTGCTCGGGACATCAGATCGCCTCCATGGTGGCCTGGTCCACATCCTGTAAGCGCAAGTGCTGCTGCTGCTCTCACCTGCAGCACAGGGAACTGCTCTAGCAAGCCCTGTGCCATCTGTGCTGGGGACCTCGGCTTTCCCACAGTGCTGCGCACAGAGGGAAATCTCAGGAGAAATGCTTCAGTTTGCAGGGCGCTGCCAGAGCTTCGAGCCTGCGCTGCTCCCGCTTTCAGTCCTATGCTGCCCCATGCGCACCATATTCTTCCCCTAAACTGTCCTGCTGGGCAGGTTAATGCTTCACATAAGGAGACACTGGGAGTGTTTTAAAAGCCTTTCACTGCAGCCACACTGCAGGACAGCACAGCCACATAATAAACAGCACAATAAGAGCTCCTCACAAACTCTTAGAAGCCCTTTGCAACCTGCTCTGTGTGGATGATTACCACACTTGCAGCCACCTAGCCTCAGAATAATTACCCCTAAAAATGGGGCGGAAATAAAGTGCTCAACAGTATTCGAATACCGAGTGTTGCCTGCAGGGCAGAGAAAACAGAATCAATTCAGCTTGGATCATTTGGAAAATGTTAGATCCCTGAGTGTAGGCAGCCCTTATGCAACACAGCCCACGTCACATTCATTTGTTCTGTATCACCTCTCCTGCTGCACGCCCAGGTGAACTGGCAATAGCTAACTGCTCTTGCCATGTCACTAACAGGTACTAAAGGTAACGGGTGAAGAACAGGGCAGGCTAAGAAATGGCACAGGCACTGCACCCAGCAGTATGAGCATTTCAGATTGCCATTTACACCCCTGATCATTGCTAACCACTGATCCACTGCAGGTTTTTGTATTTATAAAAGGATTATATAAACTAACTAAACTTCCTGAGCCAGATATACCCTGGATGACCTCATGAAATGTGGGTCACCAGGGTGTGCAGAAGGCAAGTTATGGTGAGTGATAGGTCCTGCAGGGTTTTTCTATGGCAAAGCAGCACGCTCTGATTAGCCTTCTGTGCCAGGAGTACTGTGGACAGATTTGACCAAAGGAAGATCCAGGAAGCGCATACAGGCTGCTTCAAATGCAATGGCAAAATGAGGAGCCAGCTACACTTTCACTGTTATTTTTTGCAGACAGAAAGAAATGATGGAAAGCAGTGTGGGGGACTCCAGCACTGAGTACCAACAAAAACACAGGAATTCTGGAGCCCTGCTTCTGTCATTCATAACACGGAGTTCATCACAGAATGGGAAATGCCTCTTTTTTTTTTTTTCTTAAAGAAAATAATCTGTCCTTTGTACACATTTCTTTTCAAGCCCTAACGCTGTGATACACGAGCCAACACAAGAGTCATGCCAGGGCATTTTCACTGAGCTAATTATGCGGGTTTGCATCAGGTTTTTGCTAATTGAGACAGCGACTCTGCTCCTGCACACAGCATTGAGCAATTCTGCAATTGCAGAGACACATGACTCTTCCTCTGTTTCCTTCTGCGCTCTTAGTTCTCAGATTCAGATAGAAAAGTCTCACAAAACAGCAGCTTTTCTGTGCTGGCTGATGTGCTTGTTCTTCACACAGGTAGAAGGAATTCACTCTTTGTTAAAAGAGCCTCGTATTCACATGCCATCTGACGGCTTTTGAATCTTCCCTGCACTGGCTTTGTGTAAGTTGCTGTTGGCAACACAGCATGAAAGTTTTTAACGAAGCAAAACTGAGAGAGAGATTAGTGAAACTGAATTAATGAGAATGAGTGGCATGCTCCACTTTTGGTTTGTTTTACCTGTAATTTCTTCAAAGACAGCATGAAATCCATCAAAGTTCTTGGATCCATCAGACTGGAAAAGGACATGGAGTGAAGACCCAGTGCTTCGGATGGGAGGTGGCCTCTCATTTCCACAGAATTTCTTAATTATTTGGCTGTCCAAATTGTCCCCATCACGGACTTCCACATAGTCATACTGGCACATGTAGTCAAACTCCAGGCTCAGCATGGAAAATCTTGGGGAACAAGAACACACAGTCAGACTGCATACTCTCACCTGTGCACTGTGACTCTGATTTATTTGGATGTTTAGTTATGTTAGTGCCTCCTCCCCTCAATGAATCGACAAGTCCCTAACTACATGAAGTTCTCCTGACTTCATCTCAATTTTTGCACCATAATCCTTGGAAGCAATGTACTTTTACAATGCAAAATCCTTCTACAAAAGCCTTGCCTAAAAAAGCAAATCCTTTTACAATGAGGGTGGTGAAACACTGGCACAGGTTGCCCAGAGAGGTGGTAGATGCCCTGTGGCTGGAAATGTTCAAGGCCAGGGTGAACGGGGCTCAGAGCAACCTGATCTAGTTGAAGGTGTCCCTGCTCACTGCAGGGGTGTTGGGCTAGATGACCATTAAAGGTCCCTTCCAACCCAAACTATTCTGTAATTCTATGAAGCCAACTGAACTCTACACAGTTGCTCCATGAGAATATTTAAGTGGCAGAACAGTAAAGTATAAATTGAAGCCATACAGTCTGTTTAGATGCATCAGGTCCCTAACAACACTACAATGTTAGAACTTTCATCTAGGGTCAGACACTGCAGTGGGCATATTTCCATCGCGGCTGTTTGCTAAAAAATGTTCCACTTCCCCTAAATAAAGTTCTAAGTATGGAAAGTAACAGTATCAAAGACCAAGGCTCAAATGCTGTTTACATCGTGATGTTCTAAAGTCAGCAATTAAGGGTACAAGGAAAGCTTGGGGATGTAACAGAAGCAGAAATAGCGAGAGAAAGGGAATCTGAAACACTACAGCACATTTTGCATTAGCAAGCAAAATGGTAGTAAATCCCTGATGTCTGGCATTTGCCCTTCTTTTTAGGGCAGAATTAAGGGACAGGAGTTAGTGCAGCAGGGAAATAGTTAAAACCTTTTTCCACAATGTCTGTCTTTCCTAGCTGTGGCCCAGCCACCGCGCAAGGCTCTTGGTTGTTAATAGCAATGTTATACACCGCTATTCGAATTCAGTGGGGCACAGAGCCAAAGCACCCCATCAGAACGTGGATGAGAAACAGAGTGAGAAACACCAAGTGCCTCTGGAGAATGAGCAATGGCCAGGGGTGCTGGACCCAGCCTTGGTACAGCAGGTAAGAATGAGCAGATCTGGGCCTGGGAGAGGCCATGCTACTAACTGTTCAGCAGCCTATTTTGTAAATGAAACTTGCTGTGTACTTAATCTTCCTGAGAACTCCTAACACCACAGACATGTTTATTTAGGATAAGGCTAAATCTCCCACATTGCCTATTCCAGTGTGGGCTTAGTAATTTGCAAAGACTGCCTTTTCACTCCAAAGAGGTGAGACAAATATTGGATCTCCTGCTGGATCTCACAGCCTGAAGAGGCAAGAGATTACTGGAGCCTGTTTCCTGCTCTTCTCTTCCTGGGACTCCGGCCCCCATGTTATGTGAAATGACCTTTCTTTGACGGCTTATGAGCTGACTTAAGAGGCCTCTTCACTCAGCCACCTTTGTTCAGGTCATACAGTTGGTTTTAGGGCATCAGGAGCACGCTACATAGAGAGACATTAACGAGCAGTTGTAGGAAGCTACACCAATGGAGCAGACCCCTCCATTTTTCAAATAATCTGGTGGAATGTAGAATAAGAAAAAAATTACATCTGCTTTTAATATGCATTAGAGAGAGATTAATTCAACTTAGCTTTCCATAAAATGCATGAGTTGAAGTCTAGTTCTGTCAGGTTTGCCAGAGACATCCTCACAGGCATCAGGTTATACACTACATCTTCAAAAAAATTCTTTCACTGGCGGATCGTACCCCAGGGATCTACCCTTAAGGAAGTTACAGAGCAGTACAAATTAACCCATTCATCCTTGTCACAGTTATCAGGCTACAGTTTATCCTGACTCAATCCTAAAAATATTTAGCAGTTCTCTGAACTGTTACATTTCTGATTAAAATTAAGTATGTGTGTAAGTACAGAAGGAAAGTTTCTAGGATGGCCACCATGTAATGGGAGCAGTATTATTTATGGATGTAAATGTAAACTCTGTCTAGCAGTGTGCTTCTGAACAAAGAATGTCAAGAGATGCTCACACAGACTGAAGGCACAGAACGAGAGAGCCATACACAGAACACTGCTTTTAATTGTTTGCTTTCTCTGGTTTAAAAAATTATGAAAACAGAGTGGAAGATGTGAAAGGCATAGCGGGGTTCTGATTTGCATTTTGTTTAACTTAGCACAGAAGCAGAAACACTGTACTGATGACATGCGATCCCGTGATTAAGACTCAGAACTGGCAGGTCAGAAAACCTGCCAAAGCTTTGCAAAACCTCCTGGCTATGGCCCAGTTGATGGGACCCTTTACAGACCACGAGGTCTATTGCTGTTTAAATCACAGGTGCAGGCAATGTAATGAACCTCAGCTCCCTCACCTGTGAAACTGCAACTATATCAGGATTCCTTAGATATTATGAAACAAGGCACGCTAATTTAGTGCTACAGGTCATCAGATGCAAAATGGAATGCAAAGTATTGTCTTGATTTCATCAGTGTATGCAGTGTGAATACATTCACCAGCCCCTCTGAGGAAAGCTTCTAACCATAAGAAAATATTTAAAACTGCATCTCTGCTGAGGCATTAAAGAAAATGATTGAAAGTTATGAGCTACTTCTACAGTGGTATGACATCCCTGACATGGCTCAGGCTGAGGGAGCCTACTTATCAAAACCCAAGAAAAACAAGCAGAGAAACCAAACTGCCACCACAATCTGGGCACCGTTTATCAAAACAGCTCTGCTTAGCCAGCCCCCAAAGGACTGTACCACACAGCTTGAAAAAAGGGAAGATTTATCTGCTCTCCTGAGAGTTTTACTCTTCCTGCCCTACGTAAGCAGAGACAAACCACTTTGTTCCCCTTCTGTATCACACTGTCCCCGTCCCTGCCCTTGCAAGCCATCAGAGCAGCAGCAAACAATATTTGTGCACAGAGAAAATGAAGAAAGCAGTTCTTTTGTTAGCAATTGTGCTGATTCAGCACAATGATGGCTATGCATTACAGCTCTAAGCAGAGTTAGCACCCACAGAGGGGATCAGCATGTCTATATGAAAATGTAGTGAAGGCAACGATTCAGCATGGATGGCAGACCCAGGAGGAAGACTCTGGTGGCCTGCTAGTTGTACTTGCCCTTCCGAATACACCAGAAGGCTGTGCTGCCATTCAGCGAGACCTGGACAGGCTGGAGAGTTGGGCGCAGAGGAACCTGATGAGGTTCAACAAGGGCAAGTGCAGGGTCCTGCACATGGGGAGGAACAACCCCATGCACCAGTACAGGCTTGGGGTGGACCTGCTGGAGAGCAGCTCTGCAGAGAGGGACCTGGGTGTCCTAGTGGACGACAGGTTAACCACGAGCCAGCAGTGTGCCCTGGCTGCCAAGAAGGCCAATGGTGTCCTGGGCTGCATTAAGAGGAGTGTGGGCAGCAGGTCGAGGGAGGTTTTTCTCCCCCGCTACACTGCCCTAGTGAGGCCCCATCTGGAGTACTGTGTCCAGTTCTGGGCTCCCCACTTCAAGAAAGATGAGGAGCTACTGGAAAGAGTCCAGCGGAGGGCCACGCGGCTGGACGAGCTTCTGGAGAGAGTCCAGCGGAGGGGTACGAGGATGGTGAGGGGACTGGAGCATCTGTCCTATGAGGAAAGGCTGAGGGAGCTGGGCTTGTTTAGCCTGAAGAAGAGAAGGCTGAGAGGGGACCTTATAAATGCTTATAAGTATCCTAAGGGTGGGTGTCAGGAGGATGGGGCCAGACTCTTTTCAGTGGTGCCCAGCAACAGGACAAGGGGCAACGGGCACAAACTGAATCATAAGAAGTTCCCCCTGAACATGAGGAAGAACTTCTTCCCCCTGAGGGTGACGTAGCACTGGAACAGGCTGCCCAGGGAGGTTGTGGATTCTTCTTCTCTGGAGACATTCAAGACCCGCCTGGACAAGGTCCCGTGCAGCCTGCTGTAGGTGACCCTGCTTCGGCAGGGGGGTTGGACGAGATGACCCACAGAGGTCCCTTCCAACCCTGACCATTCTGTGGTTCTGTGATTCTGTATAGGAATGGCCTAAAGGAGAAGTTTTAGGCTAAATGTATCAGTTTTCCACAGTATCTAACTGCTGAAGTACCTCAATGGCCAGCTTTGAGGTGGTCTACCTTGAAAACCTCAGCTGATTCAGAACACACTCCAGGTTCACCTTATGTGAGGTAGATATACGTCCTCATGTTCTGTGTTTGCCCTGGAGGCTTCCTCCTATGTCTCCTGACTTGCAGGGTGGCAGGATTAAGTGCGCACATCCAGCACAGGTCCTGATCTTTACCTAGAAGTGCCGTGTCATCTGCTGGGATCTTTCGGTGTCCAGACATCAAGTTCAGCTCAGGCTGGGCATAGGGCTTTAGGCTTCTCCGACACTACCCAGCTCAGATAAATGTAGCTGCTGGCAACAGAAGGTTGGTAGCTCAGGCTTCCCTCTCGGAAACTTTCACAGCTGGAATGTAGTGTTATGTCACAACAAAGAGATGCCTAGTCTTGTGTTTGTTTGACTGTAGGAAGGATGGACATGTGGAAAAATAGAAGTCACCCTCCGCAGGATGCCCCTCATGTTAAAGTTTTGCATCTTCTGGTAACAGCAAAGGTAAACTGAGTGAACTGTACAGATCTTATGTGACACTAATATTTTCCTAGAACGCATGTGGGTGGCTCTCAGGGTCTAGAACGGAGGTCTGATTTCTCCAAAGAGTTAGTACATCTGTTAGCTTAGTTTACAGCACTCCCCATTCCTCTACCTTGAAAACGGATGAGCGTCTCCTTAGCACAGCCACAGCAAGTACTGCTGTTCGACCTAGTGTCCTTTGCTAAAATAGCCTTTCCTCCCTTTCTTGTACCTTGTGCCTGGTGCCACTTGGCTGTCAACTCTTTACCCAGATGGGTGCAGTCACTAGTGATGTTCATGCACAGGATCCATTTCCACTCTCGCACCCGCTCCCATAAAATCGAAGACAGGGTAACATCTGTAGCTCCTGAAGCACTTTTTAAACCTTACAACTGACAAAGTCTTGTTCAGAAATGTAAAGAATACCAGGTTACCACCTCCCTGAGCTTGTGTTGTGCAAATCATACACCTAGCCAACAACATCTTTTAAAAACAAGGTAGGTACAGCTCATAGCTGCCGATACTGATGCAAAGTTGTGTCACGAGAACACAAAACTCCTCCTCACAGCATTGCTCCCCTGTGTCTCCTACACATTTCTCCAGAGTCAAGAGGTTCCAACGCTATCCAGGCAATAATTGCAGCTGCTAGTAACTACACAATAGGCTTGCATTTGCTAGTCTGGAAAAAGGGCATTAGTGTGGGAATGCCACAAGATCTTCTTTTCTGTTCCATTGATGTCTCTACCTTTTATTAAATATTAAGTCCCTTTTTAAACATATAGGAAAAAAAATCTGTTTGTGTATCTAGGATAGTTCTTCTGCCTGGGCTCCAAAGCTGGTGAAATATTGATGTGAAGGCTTTAGCTACTGTTTTTATTACATCAGCTAGTGGGTTTTGAATACAATCCCCTGCCAAGCTTCCTGCTGCATGTGTGAGGTCCCTGCCACACACACGTGAAAACAGTATTAATTACCCCAACTAGGGGCTCAGTCAAGAACTTTGAGCTTGAGTCAGCAGGGGTGGGTTAACAGGTCTAAGCATACACAGGTCAGAGGAGCAATGACTTGCAGTAGAACCAATCACATCCTGCAGACATAGGAATGTTAAGAGGAATAACTGAGGCTAGTAAAGGACTGGTAAAAGAGCTGGTAAAAATGAGTGCAAGAAAAATAAGAGAGAGAAAATGCAGGCCCATGGCAGGTCCCATGGGCAACTTTCTCCTGGCATGAGACATCATATCAAAATGTTCCTACAGCTTTTCTTCAAAGAACATCTTAGTTCAGCCTGATACACTCTTCAGAAAATATTGGGTGCTTTGATGTCAAGTTCTTGAAGAGACTCTAGCGAGATACACTGTGCCCAATATCTGAGAAACCCTCCTTAGCATCCGGCTGTCCTAAACGGGAGTTGCAGGCACAGCATCGATGATTTGTGCAGTGACTGCCCATCACAAGCCAGACCACGGGAAAGAGCTGAGGTACCAAATGCAAAGTAGTGGCAGTACCTTCACTGCTCCAGGGCTCCCAGCTGTTGACCCCCATTGACTCTTCATTATCCACATGCCCCAATGTCCACCTGAAACCAGTACTGGCTAAAATTCACTAGGACCTACCTTAATTCAATGTTAAATCCAGCTTGAACATGAATAGTCCATTCACATCGTGCGTTCAGTGGGTAACCCTCCAGCAAAATCTGACCTCTAGAAGCCTGAAGAACCTGCCCGCACCCTAGGGAGCGAAAGAAGAAAAAAAAATCTGTGTGAGAGACCTTCAAGAGGCATTTGAAGAAAATACATGTGGAAACAACACCAGAATAAGAAGACAAGGTGTCTTAGGAAGATACACACTTTCTTACAAGGCAGTATATAAAATAATGGGACAGCCACACAATGGCTATAAAGAGTTATGACTCTGTTAGAGTATTGTCTAGGCTAAGAGCACCCTTAGAAAAGTTTTAGCTGATTGCTTCTCCCTGGTTTGCAATGCAGCCCCATAAAATCATTTCTTACAGCTTTTACCCCACTTTTGATTAGCCCACCCACCCACCTGGCTGACACTCCAGCTCAGAACAGCTTTGATGGATCTCATGTTGACCTGCGTAATCACTGAATCTGAGGAAGCTGGTGGGAAAGTGCCAAAGGTCCGATGAACATTTGAATTAGCTCAAGTAAGCGAAACAATGAGAGGAGGAGCTGTTGCACCCAACGTCATAGTTTCAAGTCCTTCACAAGGAGACTTTTGGAGGAAAAACAGCTGATGTATTCCTAAAGGAGACATACGTTTGTCCTCAGGATTCACCACATCACCTTTACATGTTAACGCCACCATGCCAGTGGAGACATATAACCATCACAGCTCCTCCACCAATGGCTCCATGTAACACATAATATACAGCTCTCATGCCTTCTCTCAGGTTCATTCCTATCCTTCCTCTCCTCCTGTCCCACTCTGCCTGTGTCACTCAGCTTTTCACCATACTATGAAACGTACTTCAGTGCCCAGCATCCACAGAGTAAGATGAAGTACTCCTGTCACTCATGCCCAGCCTGAGAAAACCATGGGAGGACAACGACCTGAACAAACAGCAGACAAGGACACACACCGAGGAAGCAATAACTTTTCATGGCTATCCTGCAGCTGTCCTTAGGCAGCTATCCAGGGATAGTTGTCCTAATTCCTCATCTCGGACACTGAACATTTTTAGCCCAGAGTTCTCTCACCTTCAGTAACCTCTTCCTTTCCCCCAGGTATAAAATCTGACTAATGGTAGATTAGTCTTCCACTTTCTTCCACTTCTCTGTGGAAGAAAGTAAGTTGCTTAGCGACTTTTGTAGAGCCTTCTGTGCTCTGTAAATGCAAGTGCTAGCAAAATGCACAGTTAAACCATTACACACCAACCAGAGCTAATTTCTCCCTTTCTACTTTCCTGACTACATCTTTCCAAATGGAGTCTTGCACAGGGCTACTTTCCCTGGGAAGCCTTCTGCTGCTCTGCTGGGGGATGAGGCTGTATCCATAAGCCAGAAATTGCAATTGAGCCTAACAGCATCATTGAACCAGGGCACTAACAGGCTGCACACCACAGATTATAAGTAAAAAGAGAAATGACCCAAAAGACCTCCACAGCAACTCCCTCGCTTCTTTTTACCTATTTGGTCCAACAGAAAGCCCTGCTCCTTCCATCTGCTTCTAAAGAGGTACCCTAAACTTTTAGCCAGTGACACAGGATGAATGTTTCCTACTGAAATGGCGGGTTTTCACACTCGCCTCAGGGCCCTTCCTTCCTTTGGGAAGAGAGGGTGACGGTGGCCTGATTTGGTGAAGTACCAGCCATCTGCGGTTCCCATTGATCTTAGTGTCTGGAAATCCGTCCTGCTGCATCTGGTCTATGGGGAAACGCGAAAACTACAGGTCAATTACTCCTCTTTCTTCTTAAGAAAGTATTGCTCAAATGAAATACTCTTTGTTCATTTACCCTCGGTTACCCTTAATTAAGCAGGACCCAAGGAAACAGAAATCCTGCTCAGAAGAGTTCCTCAAAAGTGTTTCATCCTTCTCTGTGGCTCGCTTAGTTCCCTCTGTAAAAGGCAAGGACTAATGAGTGTGCCCAGCAACCACATTAGGATTCAGCGAGTACAGCAGGATCTGCTGTGGTGCACATGATAATGCTCCTTCCCACAGCAAGAAACAGGACCTTGTGTTGCCGCTGGCTCCTGCCTCAAAAACAACCTGAGACAAAGCTGCTAGAAATCTTCAGATGGCTTCACAGGGGGCTTGGACCACCTCAAAGAGAGTTTCCCTTTTGTCCCGAAGGGCTTTTGAGTTTCCGATGCCTTTAACAAAGGAAAGCCAAAGAACTGGTGCAGAGAGATACTTGTGTGCGTGGCATACTAAACGCACTTTTCTGTTTGCAGTGGTACAGCCTGAATTCTCTGAAGACTGGTGCCAAGGAAGTAGGTTTGGCCAGCAAAGCAGGTGGTCCAGAGGCTAAAAAGGAGCCATTCAATGACCGCCTCCAAAAGAACGTTCTCATATTTGCCACCGCCCCTCTCCGCATGAAGCAGCTTTGCGATCACATCAGATCTGTGCTCTTGTATCTTCAGCCCTTCCAGCAGAAGTTAGGCCAACTCCCCAGACCATCAGTGCAATGATCTGTTGATCAAAAGGAGTCTCTTCTCTTCCCATTCTGAATCCACAGGAGACCTGGAAAGCTCTCAAAAATAATTTACATCCTAAACACAAATGCTGGCAAATTCCGCCTCATTTAGAAAAAAATAATCCACTTTGGCGGAGTGTCAACATCCTTGTTCCGTTCCTGTTACTGAAAAAAAGGCAGCTTTCAGGGCCACAGTAACATTTCCTCTAAGGCTTGTTACAAACAGAAAAGAAAACAACTCAGGAGACCTCCAAGTTGTAGCCCACAGAGACACGTGGGTTGATGAAAGCAGAGGTCCTGAGGAGGCCTCTGGTAAGAACTCATCATCTGTTGTTTGAGTGCTACAGCATCGATGTGGGGCTCCTTCAAAGGTCAGGAGGACTGAACAGAGGAGAAAGAGAGTAGAAGTGTTACCGGTATTCAGAAACAGGCTGATACGGAAGGCAGCTGTCACTCGTCACGCCTTGTTGGTCACCAGTATTATGTGAAAAACTAATGTTCGCAAAGTCTCTAAAACTACAAGTACTGTTGCTCGTCACGGGGACCACAAGGTTGAAGACAGCTGACAGAAAATGCCACTGCCTCCCCTGCTTTGATGGGAGTCCGTGTTCTCCAGCGACGTGATGATCGGAGGCTGACGATGGCTGTTGGAGTGCAGGGTACAGAGGGAAAGGTCCTGAAGGGTCGTTCTTCTGGTTTTAGATTCTGATGTGCCTTTTAGGGCATGATGGTCCAATCCAATAAACAGTCCCACGGCGAAACGTCCCAGCACCCAGTTAATTCTATTCAGTGTGGGTTTTTTTCCCTAGAAACATTCCTTTGGACCACCCTACACCAATTCTCTTTTCACCAAACGATCTGGTGTCCTGTGGCTGTTTTCCGGCCATGTCCACGCGTCCAGCCACGCCAGCAGCCAGTGATAACACCCAAGTGGTGTCTTTGCCCTCTGTCCTCTGTAAAACTTCCATGTCCTCCCTACCATTCATCACCTCTTGCTCGTTCACCTCCCTGCTTGCCTTTCTCCATTCATCTGGGCTGCCCTCTCCTCCTGCCCCTTCCGCAGTCCTCCTTTTGTGTCTTTGCACTCCCTTCTCTGTGACTGTCTGAAGCGCGGCAGTCTGCAGTGTGCTCCATGAGGATGCTTTGCTAGAAGTTGGCCTTGAAGGGGCTAATTAATCCCCGGTGGAAGCCAGGTGGGTTTGTTTTGGGTGGATTAGTCTCTCTAGTTACCCTGCAGGTGTAACTCTC